TCTCTGCTCTTGATGAGGCTTTCAATCGTCCTCAGGCTGGAAAGGACTTTGTGTCCATCCACCCTGGAAGTGCAGTCAGGGTCTCCAGAGGGGGGAACAAATCCCAGCAAACCCTGCAAATCAGCTGCCGTCTGGTTTGAGGCGCCCAGGTAGAAAGACACCAAGGAACCGTACAGACTGGTTGGGGACAGGAGCAGGTTTTGGCCCTGCCGTGCTTCCCGCAGTTCGCTGTAAAACCGCATACCCAGGACATGCACAAAGTCCTTCAGGTAGCTCAGTTTCTGCCTCCCATGGACACTCAAGCCTGGAGTTTCCACCTTGTCCTTTTCATTCAGGTCATCTTCATAGGCAGGTGGGGTTTGGGACTCAATCGAGATGGGGACAAAAGTTTTCTTTCCCTCCTGGACCAGGCTTTCCAGCTCCTCACAGGTACTCTTGTTGAAAGAAAACAAATTGAAAGGGTGAACGTAGACCCGGTCACAAGTCACTGTGGTGAGGCACATCAACAAACAGAGAAGAACTGCTGTCAGGTTCATGTTGAAAAATTACTTCCACGGTGTCTGCTGAAAGAAAAAGGGGAGAGGAAAGAAGCCTGATCAGCCTGTTGTAAATACAGTTTTTCTCACTCACAGGGTGAGTTGCTAATGCTGTGTGGGAATTACAAAAGCAGGAATTTCAGTATTTGGTGTTGTTTAGTCTGACTCTTCCCCCTGAACAGCCCAGGGTGAGATGGCCACCAGTTTCATTGGTGGGAGGTGGAGAAATGCTAAGCACAGGTTTGACTCCATTACTTACTGCAGTACCCTAATAATTTAGCATGGAAAGCAATATGGTTGTTCATGCCAATTAGATAGGCTGGCAAACTAGACTGTGCTAGTTCAGGTAACGGTGATCACAGTAATACAAGTATATTGCTCCTGGGACCTGGTCAGAGCTATCTCTGCAAACTGCTGCACTAAATCTTGCTGACACACAGACGGGCTCAGAGATTTGCCTGCTGTTATGCAGGAAGTGGATTTGGAAACCAGGTCTCTTAAGGTCTGACCACTGAACGATCCTGCTTTGTATGTCTAGTCAGCATAATACTTGGCACTACCAGAGCATTTTGTGTTTTCATAGCCCAGTGCAAACATTCGTTCTAGCTTCTAGGCAAACACAGTCAAGGCTACCTTATGCAAATGTGCTAGCACTGAAACCATTTTCATAGCACCTTCTTTATCTGAACAGAGAGTTAGAAGGAGCAAGCTGAGTTTTACTCTACTGTACGGGCAGTCTTCTCCTGCAGTAAAAGAACACCTGCTGCTCTTGTTTTTCCTGAGGAGAAGTAGAGAATTTTAGTGGATGTGGATGTCACTGGTGTTTTGGCACAAAGGATCTGGTGCATATTGGGAATGAGAAAGTCAGGAGCACACATACACACACATACCTACACATGTGTGCAAATGCGCTGACAAATTTTGCATTTTTATAATTCTCATTTTTCCTATATCCAGGTTTTTTTATAACTAATTGTTCTGCTGTACCATCCCTGGATTTCTAGTACGTGACTTCAAATTTGTGTATTTGAAAACCAAATGCACTGGAAGTTATGCATCTATAACACTTATCATTGGCCAAAACACTGTTATTCAGAGCTGTATTTTTATTCTACTAGTCATTTCTAGTTTACTGTAGCTTTGTTCACCTTCTTTTGGCCTTTCCAAGCTCTGCAGAGCTCACTGGATAGGCAAACTGCTCACAGCCTTGCCAGGAACCAAGCTCTGCTCTCTGCCTTCTTTCTCCAAGATTTTTTCAGTCACACCAGCCTGTCAGGTACTGTAATTCTGGTAGTCTGAGCCTTTTGAGAGGATGCAGTGCAATGCTTGTCTCACCAGCACTTTAATTTACACAAAGTGGGAGTGTCTGGGTTTAAATCCAGCTGTTCAAGACCTGCCTTCCCGGCCTGATTTACGATGTATGACCATACTCACTTCACTGGGGGATCCCCAAGTGTTTCATGCCTAATAATACTCTGTTTTGTGGAATCACTGCAAATACAAAAACTGAGATGCACAGATGCTTGGTAATTGGGCGTACCTTGCTAAGTACATATGACTGCTAACATGCACATCTACATTCCCAAGCTGTAGGCGCCTGTGCAACAGCTTGGTTTCCAAATGGAGTTCCTGCTGTTGTGATGGTTCCTCGGGATGTTCGAGGAGTGGGTGCCTGCGGGTCAGGCCTGTTTGCTCCTCAGAGGCATGCAGGGGAGGACCTCCAGCCCTGTGCCTTCATCCAAGGATTGCTCTTCTCCGTTAATTCTAACTTAGCGTGTAGGCAGCAGCAGCAGTCAGTGCTGCCATCCCCACTGCTCTCTGATATGTCTTCACTTCCCCAGCCCCGATGGCAGCAGGTGACATGCAGCACTGCAGGGCTTCTTCATTCCTTATGACTGGTTAAAAAATTATCTTAGGAGGTGTCTTCCCAACTTCATTTTCACAGTTAGCCCAGCCACTGTGCATTTCTAGTCTACTATGCATGTCCTAGATTGGGACAGCTCAGGAAAATAAATCAAAAAGCCACAAATTAGAAGCATTGCCCTTCCCACCCTGTTCTCTCCATCATACAATACTTTTGAAGCATTTCTTAATCCTGCCTGTAGCAGCAGTGAGGACGACTCTGCCGCCTGGTCAGGCTGTTCCATTAGGCACTGCTGGTGCCTTGTGGTTACTGTTCCACAGCTGCCAGAGCCACCATGTCAACTTTTTTCTCATGAGCAGAAAAAAGAGGGGCAGTTCTCACTGCTGGCACTTACACTAAGCCCCACCTGTGGAAAACCAGTGTGGTTTATTTCCCTAAAGAAGCCAGCCCAGAGCCTTTCAGAAAAGCACGAAAACTTGAGTTGAAAAATTTGCATTCAAAATAAACCCAGTAACTGTGCTTACTTGCCTTGGCCCTGGCGTGTGCCGCCCCTCCGATGCTGTTCCCCCTCGGGCAGGCTCCTCACGACACCTCTTCCCCCTGGAGCGATGCGGTGTGATGGCTGGTGGACTTAAGTCCTTTCCACGGGAGGGCCCTTTCAATGTGTCTGCAGTGGCATTGCGCAAAGCTGCTTTACATCACTGGCTGAGGGGCTGAAAAAAGTTAGCTCAGGCCAGACAGGACCCAATGAAACCTGAGCATGGCTTAACACCAGCTGCATAGAAAGTTCTAGGGATGGATACATAACCTTTAACCGGGCTCAGCACATCTGTGTAGCCTGCAGTTACACATTTACTAAGACAGACACAGGCATTTTACTATGCAGAAGAACCAATTACAGGAGCTGAAAATAACTCAGCTCATCTTGTGCCAGACTCAAAGAAATGCAGATTTCTTTGTACCTGTATTTGTTGTACAGTTGGACCAGATTTTTTTCTTCTCAGATAAATTGCCTTTTATCTCTTGAATGCACAACAGTGAGTGGGACATATACACTACTGCAGAGTAAAATTATTAAACTCTCAGTTTTCACCCTTTCTTTCCCTCTTAACCTATCCAGAAGATCAAAAGTCTGTTCTTTTTCCTCTTCAAAACAAACTGTATTGAAAAGGAGAGGATTAGGTTGCTCTTCAAAATAAATGTGCTGAAAAGGAGAGGATTAGATTGCCAGAGCCAGATCATCGAAACACCATCCCTCCCAGCCTCAACTTCTGAAGTCCTGTTTGGCAAAAGGGAGATAGTCAGAGATCTTTCTGTTGCTTTTGAAATGGCCCTCCAGTTTGGCATGCCCCTTCCTTCTCTTTAAGCAAGTAAACAGTGAATCAAACCGGGGATAATGCAGCTGGGTTAGATGGGGTCTCATTCAGTACCCCTGTTATAGTTAGTAATTCAAATCCTGTGTCTCTAATGGGAGTAGGGCTGATTTAACATCCATGCCCTGATTTTAGAGGGCAAATCAGGCATGGTTTGTACTGCAGTGCCCAGTTATGTTTTGGCTTCAAGGAGAAAGCCAAGAGAAAGGGATGTTTTCAGTGCACTTGGGCAGTCGGAGCTGGTAGAGTTGAAGGTGGAGACAGGGACAGCCACGTTCTGCTGACCTGAGCACTGTGTGCCTGGTGACTAACACCAAAGGGGTGGGAAATTGCTGTCTCTGCAGCCCTGCTTTTCATTTAACAATCTGATTACCTTAGCTGTAATGAGGTCCAAAAGCGGTTCTGAGCACAGGCCCATATGACATGCTATCGTGCACACAAGGCTTAAACAAACAGCTTGAAATATTTAAGGTGTTTTGTGCTCTTGCTGGCTGAGCATCTCAGTTGAGGAAGCATCTGGCAAGAAAAAAGTTCCTGAGCATTTGTGCCATCTCCAGATAGCTATAAAATGCATGCAGCCCAGCCATGGATCCAGGCAAGAGGAGAAGTCATTCCTCCATCAAAAATGCATTTTGTTCAGCTAAAAGCTAAGAAACCAAGATAGGTTTTAGGTTGCAATCCCCTTTCTTTCCCGAGGAGAGTCCTTCCCACAGGCAGGCTGGAGGAGAAAGCTGGTCCTTCAGAGGCCAGTGGAGGTACAGGTGGGACATGTGACAGCACAGCCCAAATCTGTGCCTGCACCTGCACCTCCACACATGTGGGTCCATGTGAGGCAGTAGGCAGCAGTGGTGTGCATGAGTGGCCAGACTATGGTGTGCCTGTGAGCTGTAGCTGGTCTGCTATGTCCTCCTAGGCAAGGCTTGAACACAGGGAAAAAGCAAACTCAGCTCGATAGTATCTAGGATGCAGAAACCAAGGCTGATTCAGTGAAGGGCACCTTGTGCTCTGTAAAACTCTGAAAAGTATCCTTATTTAAAAGAATTATTGACTTTGGCTAGTAAGCTACAAGTGATGCTAATAACATATACAACAGCTGCCAGACTTCTGTGCTTACTGTGGACAATAAACAGTGGAAGAGGAAATCACATAACCACTGTATTTTTTTTTTCCTTGCATCATTATGCCTCTATGCATGATTCAGAAATGCTACTCTAGTACCCGGAGGGTGCTGTTGTTGGGTTATCTCCAGCTTCCAGCTCCCCTGCTGTCCATGACCAAGTCATGCTGCAGCTCCTGGTGGTCTCCTTTTGGTATGGGCACCAACCCCAAGGCAAACATCCCTGGCTACAGGGGACACTGCCCCTCAGAAAGCGCAGGAGCAAGAGGCAACTGTACAATTACTCCCATGTGGTGCTCTGGTGGCTCGGTCACATAAAGGAAGTTCAGGTTTTAGTTGAAAGTTCTCAGGGTTTTTGGCCAAGTTGACCTTTGGGGCTCTTTTGGTGTTTGTGCACTCAATTCTACTGTTTTCTGTTGCCAAAAAAATTGTCACTATCTTTGGGGAGCACAGGAGTCTTCCACCCCCCCCACACTCAATCAATAAAGTAATTGAAATAAAATACCCAGCATTCTCCAGAAAAAAAGTCTCACCAGAACACGTTCAAGGGCTCGCTTTCACCACAGTGCTCCTCCTGCTTTGGACCATGGGGAATTTGGCTGCCCTCAGTAATGAGGGAGAGCCTTTGATTTCAGCTTATGTTCATGCCCTACTACAAAGCACAGACTCACCCCACCCCCCCATTTGCTGGTCACTTATGCTCACTCAATTAATACTCCCTATTAAGATGCATCATGCACTACCACACTTCTTAGATCTTTGTCTTTTATCTTCTGAGAGTTTCTCCTAAAGGAGAAGCTTTCAGACTGTGAAGAACATATATTGCTACACCTGGAATGTATTTTATCCTAGTAGGACTTAATTATAGTCATTTTTTTTCTTTACTTCTGAGCCATTTTTAAGCAGGAGTGCACAAGAATTATCCCAATTACTATATGCAGACTTTTTTGTTGGGCTTTTTTTTGTTGTTGTTGTTGGGTTGCCATAGTTTTAGGAACAAACGTGGGCTTAAAGATAGGGCTTTGTCTTCAGAAAGAAGAGAGTCCATATCCTGCCCTTTGGCTCCAATGTCCAAGGCTTTGGCTCCCCAAAGAAAGCTGTGCTAGAAAACCTGCATCAGGCCACACTTGGGTGAAAAGTATTCCAGCAACTAGTAACTGAAGAAGGTGAGAGCAAGGCTGTTCCTAAAGGCATCCCCTGCTCAAAGCAAGCCCAGGGCCCACACATGTTTCCTAACGAATCTTGCCCTGCAACAGCTGCAGTAAAAGTACAAAGAAACACAGACCTCTCAAACCTGCTCTGCAGCGAAGAGGCTCGTGCACTCCTTTTGCCCCACTCTTCCGGATTTCAACGAGGGACTCAGCTCCCCCTTTTATACCGGCTCTTGCATAAGCAGGACCCTCCCTCCCTCCTCCTCTCCACTGCCCTAATTTCTCTTCAAAACCTGCCTCTGTTTTTCCTGCTTGTTATTCATGATGGCTGCTGAGAGGGAGCAAAGAGGGGTGGAAAAACACTGGTGCTGCAGTTACGGGTTCCCTCACAGCCCCGCTCCTCCTCTCCTTTGTTCTATTGAGATCTCTATTGAGAAGTGTTAACAGGGGAGAGCTCCCCTGTCCCATGAAAATCTCTCAGGGGTGGTGCTGCTAGTGCTACTTTGTGTAAATATCATCAAATAGGCTCCGGAAATTTTAACCCCTTGGAGAGGAACACTAACCCTACAGCTGGCAGCAAGTAATTTGGTCTTGAATGAGAAAATGATTCTGTCCAAGCTAGAATTGCGATTGATCGTCCAGGCGGCTATTCTTTCGCTGAAGAACATTGCGTCTCCATGCTGTTGAAAAGTGTTTTCATTGATCCAGATCATTCTGGGAAAGGCTGTATGAGATTTAGCACTTTGCATGGAGACAATAGTAAATATTTTATTCTGTTTTGTTCCATTTGTTTTCCAACCTTGACAAATTTTGCTCTGAGATCTGAACTCAAAGGGGCCAGACGTACTCCTGGGATGATGTTATTGTCTCCTGTGAGGTTATGGTGGGAGTCATGGAGGAGGGATAACAAATTACTCTGCTCACAGCCTCCTTCCACAGACCTTCACATGGGTTCTTCTTCAGTTGAGTTGGCACGTCTGACCTACATAGATTATGAATTAATATATGGCTAACTCAGGCATAATAGCATGTACGTGGTCATATATCACTCATTACTAAATTTGAGGGTTTCTTTTTTTAAGACTAAAAGTACCTCTAGTGAGAAGTAGGCCACAAACAGTTTGTTTATACAACCTGTGATTTGATGTTGGTAATCATAAACCACCACACGCCATCAGCATTCACAGTGTTCCCTCTCTCTTCTACTTTGGTAAGGGAAGACAGTAGGGGTCTGGACAAGGCACCCAACAGAGAAGGCAAACAGAGAAAAGGATAGAAAGGAAAGGAAAAAGATGATGCCCATATGGGAGGATCTGACAAAAGGGACACAGGGAATATCGCTTCATTGGCTGGTGCAGTGGTTGCCCCAGGAGTGGCAGGCAGTCATGATGGTAGAAGGACCACTGTTTGTGAGACACACAGGAAAAACTTTGTAGAGCAGCCAAGTACCTACCGAGACCAGGAAGCTTCAGTTTGGAAGAGCAGCTGCTGGTATGGGGAGTATAAATGTAAAATGATGAAGGCAAACAAAAAATCCATTGTAACAATGCGGGAATCAGTGAGTTCCCAGTAAAATTATCAGGCAGCAAATGTAAATGAAAGGAAGGGCCCTTTCACATATGTAAGCTGCAGGAGACACAGGCGTAGGATGCTGTAGAGACCTGAAGTCTTAGCTGGTACAAAAAGAGATTAAATGAAATCACAGAGGGCACGGCCATCAGAGGCTGCAGAACCCAATGGCCCAGGTGTGATGTCTAACTCAGGAAATCCCCAGACAGCTGGCTGTCTGAATCTTGGCTTGATCCATAGAATAGCTCTCGGGTTCATCTCTAAGGGCTTGTCATCACCTTGTGACAGTCTGAGGTGAGGCCTGCTTATGCTGGCTCATCTTGCAGCACAGGCTGGAAATATTCTTTCAGTAGAGCTATGCCAGTGAAACATCACACCCAGCAAACCTGACCCTCAGCCATGGCGTTGCTGGGCTCTGCTCCTGTGTGCAGCACATTTAGGAACCCACTGCTATCTCTTCAAAATAAACATAAGCCCTGGAAAAAATTAACAGTTTTCAAAAACTGCGGGTAGACTCTTATATATTAGTTAGCCATTTTCATTTTTTTTTTCTCTGTCTCTTAACCCGGGTACCTGTACTAACCAGTGGCAGAGTTACTGCACTGAGGTCTGAAATATGTCTGTCTCCTGCCAGACCTTTGGGCTCTGTTCTTGCTTTAGCTGCACACAAAGTACTCGGTGCCTTTTTCCAGAGTAAGTAAGTAGGGAAGAAGGGGTACAGCTCTGGCGACGGGTCAGGCAGGTTTCTATACATTAGTAAACCAATTTACCCCCATTCTGTGAGAACTGTGGCAAGCTGCCATGGGCCTGATTTTATTTGTTCATTTTTACTATCTCTGGTGGGGAAAGGCTTTGTAAAGTAATTATTTTTTTTAACCAGTTTAATAAAACTATGTTAAGGAATAGGTTTGCATGTGATTTTCCCCATGTTTTCTCTGTACACCTCACCTCTGCCCTTGTTGGCTGGAACTACTTTTCTGTGAAAGCAGCTGGTGAGCACAGAGGATGTACTAAGCTTGCCCAATTTTTTGTGTAAAGAGGATTACAAAAGCGCTTTTCAATAATAGCATTCAAAGTGCAGATGATGAAAGAGAGAGACTATCCCACTTCTGCCATGGGTTCTGTCAGTGAGGAGCAATGGAAAAATTGGTAATGAAGCTGCTACAAACCCCAAGGACTGTGCCACCCCTTTGCTGGGGTGAAGGGACATCGTATGCCAGCCTGGAGGATATGGTGAGTGGGTGGCCAGAGAGCTGACTCAGGTAGCTGGGGCCCCCCTCAAAGGGCACGTGTGACACGGTGCTTCCTCCTCACAGTAGGAGAGGTACCCAACTGTGCCAACTACCTCAGCAGCTGCCACACCAGCTGTATCATAAACCCTCCATGATGGAGGAGGGACCATCACTACCTATGAACCTCTTTCTGCTGCTCAAGGAACAGTCTCCTTGTGTGCTGATGATCCCCTATTTGTGGAGCTCTTCTAATGATTTAATACCCAGATGAGCCTATATTAACACTAGCGCATATTGTTCCAGCTTATAATTTCATTTGTTTTGTTATGGCTTCTGTTTACAAGCCCTAAGTGTAGACATTGCTTTGAATTTTTTTTCTTTCCCAGTGGAAGATGTGGTTTTTAATAGAGTTTTAAGAACGGTCCATGCACAGCCTGCACGGGCACACACAGGCATGACCATGTCCATGCAAAGGGAACCTCCTACCCTGAGAATCTCAAAATACTTTGCAGTGTAATATTGGCGACCTGTAACTGATTTTGAGTCCTTCCCTGCAGCAGGTGCTGTGCCTGTGAAGAGCGAGAGACTATCCCAGACCGAAGCAACCAGGACAGAGCAAACCTTTCTGCAGAGGGAAAGCAGACAGGAAGAGGTGACGTGATTCACCTTCGGTCACACAGCAGGTTGGTAACATCTCAAGGTCAAGCACCCAGGTTTCTTGATGCCCAGCCTAGTGTGTTACCTATTTGATCACACTGTCTCTGCATCCCTCAGGTGAGAGCTGCAAGGTAGAGGAGCAGGGAGAGCAGTGCCTGCACAGCGAGATGCCTGCCTCAGAGAGCTGGAACCAGCTTTGTTACCACAGTTAATAGACTTTTTATGATACTCTCCTCATGAATGTCTTTGTATCAGGGAGGGATTTTGCACTACCCCAACATTTCCCAGCTGGGTCAGCCGCTGAAGTCTTCAAGCTCTTCCTCAAGATGAGTGAGGGAAGCAGCCGGCTGACCACTGTCTGGGAGATATCCAGCTCCAAAAGGCTACGCCACCAAACATCCTGCTCCCCTCAGTATTGCAAGGTTCCTGCATAAAGCTCAGTGAAGGTTTACTCCCTGGGGATCTTCTAAGTGAGACCTTGGGAGGCTAATCCTTGATGGCACTATGGGGATTTTGAAATTCTCATTGTACTTTTTGGTCCTGAGACAAATTGTCCCCAGGGCACCACACACAACAGTTGTTTTCTTCTAGCCTGGAAATGGCAGCTATTCAGCAAAACTAAAATCAGAGCCATAGAAAGACCTTTGGAAGCTGGGATACCCCTATTCCCCATGCAAACTCAAGTTCCCCTTCATCTTCTCCCCAGCCTCCCTCAAGCCATCTCCACCCCTCCTCCCGCTCCTCTGCCCACAGCTTCTTTCTCTGGGTGGGCAAATTGTTGCAAGCAGCAGGACTCCGCTATTTTGGCTGCTATTCCATCTGTGCTGGTTTCCTGCCTCACTCAAGGAGCAGTTTTAATAATATATGGCTTATGCAGTTCATACTTGAGAAACAGACTCGATCCTTCCCCACTGTGGGAGTTATGGGACTCTTCCATTTTCTGGAGTTGTAGCCACTGAAAGGCAGCTCCCACACAGCCAGGCAGCTACAGGGACAAAACCCCAACTCCCCTGGGACAGCAGCAGCAATGGTCCATGGTATGAAAAAGGACAGATGCCTTTTGCAACCTGAAATAGGGGTGTGGCTTTCAGATCCACTTTAAATTGAGGGGTGCACAACTGATGGCAGCAAAATTGTTGGACTCCCTCCTGCTTTCAGATCATGGTAGAAAGATGGCAAGGAAGAAAGCAGAGAGAGAGAATGAGCTGGGCAGCGTTACGTTAAGGCTGCCCAGGTTGCTAGAGCCTTGCAGGGTCTTTCTCTCCCCTAGAGGCTGCTGTGCAGACCCATCACCTCTTTCAGGACCGTCTCCAGCCACTTCAGTGAGAAGCGGGAGCTGACTTCCCGTGTCAATGCCCATGCGGACCTATTCGCAGGTCTAAAGTTTGCAGTTGCAGACCACAGGGATGGCTGTGGATCCCTCTCTCTCTCCTTGGCCGAAGCTGCCTCCGTGCGGAGCGCCTCCGCATCGCTGCTCCCAGCGCAGCAGGGACCGCGCAGCGCGCCGCCGGCGCGCCTGCAGCGCCACTGACATTTGGAAATGTTATTACCTTGCTGCACTTTGTTAAACCAATAATTCTGAAAAAAAGAGGAGGGGAAAGTTAAATTTATACCCAGTGGTGGTTTTTTACAGGAAAAAAAGGGGGGAAGAGCTTGTAATTGAAGTTTCTGGGGTTTCAATAAGTGGCAAAATTCAGTCTTTTTGCAGAACAGAATTTCCTGCTCTTTTGTTTTTACTGGATGATTTTTAAGCAAAGGCTTAAATGTTTGCTGCAGTTTTGGGTTCGTTTTATTTTTCTTTTGCTTTATTTTTCCACCTTTTCAATGTTAATTGTAAAAACGTGAAATAACATTTTAGCTTAAGGGATAAAGCTGAGGAACAATAAATTCAACCCAGGATATTCTTAGTGAGAAAAGAACTAAGATTGCCTCCCGGTCAGGATGCTGAAACACACACTGATGAAACCCTTTGAAAAACCATAAGCTCCCCAGAAAAAAAAGATCAGTGGATACTCTTACAGCTATTCTACCAGGAAAAGTTGAGTTCCTGTAAGGATTGCCTCTGACATCCTCCCCCTCTACTCTGCCCTGGTGAGGCAGCATCTTGAATATTGTGTCCAGTTCTGGGCCCCATAGTTCAAGAGGGACAGGGAACTCCTTGAGAGAGTCCAACGCAGAGCCACGAGGATGATTAAGGGAGTGGAGCATCTCCCTTATGAGGAAAGGCTGAGGGAGCTGGGTCTCTTTAGCTTGGA